GCGGTGCCGCCGGGCGGCAGCGCCCGCTGCACGGGGAGGAACCAGACGGCTGAGGAGCAGCAGCGCGGGGGCGTCGCGGCCACAGCTCTCTACCTGTGGGGCGGCGTGATGACGGCTCTGTCCTACGTGGAAGCACCCAGGCCTGCCCCACATGGGAGTYCCCTGCAAGGCGCCCTCCGGAGAGCACCCACCTCGTGTGAGAGATCCAACGGCAGCGTGGCGGCCGGCAGCCCTAGGCGGCGCGGCCCCTCCGGCCTCGCCGTGCTGCCGGCCCCTCTGCCGCTCCACTGCCGGGCCTGCTCCGGCAGCGCGGAGCTCGCCTGGGATGTGGCCTCTGCCCACAAGGACTGGCTGGACCCCCTGGGGCTGGGGCGCTGCTCCCTGCACATGGCTCTGGATCTCAGCAGAATCAAGAGCTTCATYTTTCCCAGCTAGGAGCATGGGGTAGCCCCTTCCCCTCCCCTTCCAGTGTTGGCACAACTCACTTCCTTGCACTTTTGGGACCCTTGATCCCTGGGGCTGTACAGGGCTGGGGGCCCCTGTGTTACTTCCAAACCAGCATTTGTGTGTTGTTACTGTCCCTATGCCTGCTCCAGGGCAGAGGTTTCTTACACTTGGGGTGCTGCAGAGCGTTGGGGCCGCTGGGCGGAGGTGCTGGGGTGCTGAGCCGAGGGCTGAGACTAGCTGGAGAGCAGGAGCGGGGTCCCCTCGGGCCGGGACGCCAGGCGAAGGGGGAGTCCTGCTCTATGTCATGGACGCGTGGCCCATGGCAGAGGTGGAATGGGGGATGTAGGATGGCTGTATGTGCAGAGTGGAGATGGGGGAGACCCCAGGCAGGGGGAGCCAGGGAAGTCCCGGGACAGGGTGCCTAGGGCAGGGGATGGGAGRAAGGTGGGAGCAGCCCTTGCTGCCCTGCCCAGCAGCAGTTCCCCTTTGGGGACTGCCAGCTGCCTTAGGACAGRCAAGAGTTGCACTAAGAGGGGACCCCAGTGTGTATGTGCACCCCAAGGATGGTGCATGTCCTGTGCAGGTTGGGGGGACAAGGTGTGATTCGGGGTGTGTTTTCTTGTACTGCCTCCGTTGGGCTCTTTGAAAGCGGGGTATTCTGTGGCCCCATCCCAAATCCCAGCTGCCTGGGGCTATGGGCAATGGTGCCTGACTGCTCCTCGGGGCGGGGAGAAGGCAGCTTGTCCTGCTGACCAGCTGCTCATTGCGCCCCTTCTTTTTACTCTGGGTTTTACACTCTTTTGTAGATGCAAATCTCTTCCAATAAAAGTAGTTCTTGCTGTGCACCTGCCTGCTCCTTCCTCCYAAGCCTCTCCCGGGGGCAGCACCTGCATCCCGAGGCTGTCCAGGACCTGTTACTGGCCGTGTTGGCCTGCAAAGCTCCTGTGGGACTAGGTTCTGCTGGCAGGTGACAGGATACCCAGGGCCTGGGGGGAGGCAATGGGACACAGGAGGGCTTCCCTTCCCATCTTTGGGAATGTGGGGAATGTGTGGTCTCTGCTGCTCTTTGCTCTCTGCTGGTTGTCCGGTTAATGAGCAGTGAGGGCTTTGAAAGGTCACCCTTGTGGTCACCCTGTGACAAAACATGGGCATCCCCTTCCCGTGCCCCCGTGGGAGCCTTCCCAGCCGAGCGGCACCTCGTGTCCCTCGGCAGCCTGTGCCCTCGTGTGTCCGCTGGCAGGGCTTGGCGCCCTGCTCCTAGCAGGAGGCCGGGCTCCCAGGAGCCCAGCGCGAGGCGTGGGGTGCCGGGGGACTCTGAGGGGGSTCAGCCCAGTGTGGGGGCTGCAGCGGCTGGCGGGGCACCCTATGGCTGCGATGGGACCMTCAAGATGGGCTACAAGGAGCGACTGGAGCTGGGAGCAGAGGCGCTGCTGTGCCTGGGAGGGAGCGRCGCCTGGGAGCAAGATGCTGCGCCAGAGATGATGAAGATGAAGATGCTCCCAGAGGGTGAGGGAGGAGGCAACTATGCTGCACCCAGCACCTGGCTCCGTGTGCCATAAGAGGCAGGAAGGGATGCAGGGGTCTGGCTTCAGGCCTTGGCACCACAGTGATGCCCAGCGGTCCTCTCCCTGGTTGCCTGTCTTGCTGGTCCAGGGTGGCCCTTTTATTCCGCGCTGCAGGGGCAGGTTACTCACCAACTCCAGTTAATGGCTAACCCCGGCACAGCTCCGGGGAAGGTGGAAGTTCAGGCTGCACTAGGCCCTCGGGGGGAGCCTGCCTGCCCTGCCCCACAAGCCGGGAGCGACGTGGGGGGCAGCAGCATGAATGGGGGCTGCCCCACAGAGCCTGTTGCGGGGCGCCCCTTGCGCGCCATGCAGAAAATGTGCTCCTGTGCACTGAGCTGCTGCCTGGCCCTGCAGGTAAGGGGGGCCGTGGCGGGCAGTGGGGAGAGCGCTGGGGTCCCCGCAGGCAGCAGCGCCAGGGCTGCATCCTGCCCCGGCCAGGCTGCGTGGAGGGGAGAGGGTGGCTGGGCAGGGCAGCTCTGCCCGGGCGCTCGCAGGAGCCGGGGGCTCCAGCTCCGGCTCCCGCTGTGCGTGCCCTCCCTCCCCGCGCAGCACCTCGCCGTGCAGGCCTCCCTGCTCTGCGTCTTCCACCTGCTCCTGCTGCCGAGGCTGCCCGAGGAGCAGCCGCCGGCGGTGGGCGAGCTGCTGGCGCGCAGCCTCTTCGCCTGCGGCATCGCCACCATCCTGCAGACCTGCGTGGGGAGCCGGTGAGCGCGGGGCACAAGGGACACAGCCGCGGCCAGTGGGGCTCTGCCCCYGCTGGGATGGGGCTGGTAGGTTTTGGGGGAGCAGGGAAGGGGCATGAGGACTGGGAACAAGGATGCTGTTGGGCCATGAGGTGCCCTGGAGATGTTGGTTTCCTATGAGAACCCGCCATGCCATCACTACATTCCCCTTGCACATCTGCCTCCAGCAGATCTGCTGTGTTCTCCCCTTTGCTCCTCACCCCTTGCTCCAGCATCACACGGGCCCTCTCCAGTTCATCCAGCGGCTGCTGGGTGCTCCCTCTATGCAGCTGGGCATGTACCTGGCCAAAMCCCTGTGAACATCCCTTGTGCTGCTGCTTGGGATGTACTAGGAGGTGTTTGGGATATCCGATGTCCCTACGGTCATGTTGAGGTTCCTGCCTCCTGTGTCACTGCCCCTTCCCTCCCCTGTCTCAGAGCAGCCACGTGCCCTCTCCTCCCTACTGCGCCCTTGCTGTCCCCAGGCTGCCGCTGGTTCAAATCCCGTCGTTCGAATTCCTGGTCCCTGCCATGGTGCTGAGCTCCCACCTGTCCCTCCCTGCCAGCACAGACAGGAATGGTGAGCACAGCCCTGCAGCCTTGCCCAGAGCCCCACGGGACCCTACGCCGTGCTGGCAGCAGGTGACAAGGTGCTGTGAGCCTGGGGCATCCAGATGGGGGTAGAAATGGCCCCTGCCTCTTTGCTCTCCTGCTGCTGGAGTACACAGCACCTGGGGCACTTAGTGGCCCCTGCCACACTCACAATGTACCCCGGGTCATGAGTACAGGCTTGGTGGCCTCTGTCACCGCAGCAGCCATCTCTTGGGGACAGGACTTGGGGACTGGAGCAGGCCCATCCCAGCACCCCGCCTTCTGTACCTGGTTTTGCAGCCCAGCCAGAGGCCCTGCCACGGGAAGCGTGCAGGTCCTGTGGCACCAGGACCATGTGGTCCAAGCACTCACCACCCCAAGGGGAAAATTTCCTAAAGCAGCTTGTTATCCAGCCCAGGTCAGATAACTGCCTCCCTGTTACTGGGAGTCCCTGGCACTGCCTCCCTGAGCCTCTGGTCCCCAGCTGCTGCTCCCAGGGACAGCCCAGTGCGGACACAGCTCCCCTGAGCARTGCTGGGATGGGGCCCTGGCCTGCTGGCCCTCTGCAGCTGGGACCCGCTCTGCATGGCCTCAAGCTTGCAGCTCTGCCAGGCGGGCTGGGGGAGCCCCTGTCCGCCCATCTCGTCCCCTCCGACCTTCCCTTGCAGGTACCATGGTGGCCGGCGGGTGCCCCGCTCCCCAGTGCGGTGCCGCAGGGAGCCGGGCCGCGTCGCTGCGCGAGGTTGGTGCCCTGCGCTCTGCTCCGGGCTCCATCCTCACACCTATCAGCACCCCCTGTGTCCGGCCCCGCTCAGCTGCCCTGGGGGTGCAGGAGACAGGGAATCACAGGGATATGTGTGTGTGTGTGTGCTCGGGCCTTCCCTGGCACGTGGGGCGAGTGGAGCCGGGCACGAGGCTCAGGGTGTGCGTTGGGCTGCTCTCACCRTGTCCTGTCTCCCGTGTCCCGTCTGTTCCTCCCGCAGGTCTCGGGAGCTGTTGTGGTCTCCGGGCTGGTGCAGCTGCTGCTGGGAGCGTCCGGCGYGTGCGGCTGGGCGTCCCGCCGCTGCGGGCCCATGGTGCTGGCGCCCAGCCTCTCCATCGTGGGGCTGTCTGCCTACAAGGAGGCCGCCCTGCTCTGCTCCGCTAACTGGGCCATAGCGCTGCTGTACGTGACCCGCCGGAGCGGGCGCCTGCCCTCGCCGCAGGGCCTGCCAGCGCTGTGACCTGTGCTCCCTGTCCCCAGGCTGGTGCTCCTGGCCGTCACCTGCTCCCAGCACCTGGGCTCGTGCCGCCTGCCCCGCCGTGCCTGCCGCCGTGCCCGGGGGGGCTGCGTGGAGCCGCCCGCCCCCACGCTGCGCACCTTCTCGGTACCGCGGCCCTGCTGCCGGGGCCCTGGCGCATGGCTGGGTGCTGGGAGCAGGGAATGTGGCTGAGGAAGAGCCTGGCTTGACTGGAGAGAGGGTCCAGGTGCACTGGGGAGAACAGGGGTGCAGAGCCTGGTGTGCTCCCTGCAGGGCCCTGGGGACACCTGGAGGAAGGAACGGAATAAGGGCTGGGGGGGGTGCAGCCAACAGGGTGCTCACGGGGGAGCGGGCACGGAGGGGGCCCTSTTCAAGGTCCTCTGCTGCCTCTCAGGTGCTGCTCCCCTTTGCCGGTGTCTGCACCATGTGTGCCRTCCTCAGCCACCTCCGCATCCCCTGGGACTTGCAGGAGCTGCCCGGGCAGCGGCTGCCCTGGGCCAACAGCACCCTGCACTCCCCGTGGCTCCGCATCCCCTACCCAGGTGGGCACAGGCAGAGCGGGCACCGCCGGCACCCCCCGCGCGGACCCCGTCACCACCGCTGGTGCCTCCGCTGCAGGCGAGGGCGGGTGGCCGCTGCTCACGCCGCGGGCGCTGGCGGTGGGCATCGCCATGGCCCTCGGCGGCAGCGTCAACTCGGTGGGCTGCTATGTGCTGTGCGGGAGGCTGCGGCGAGCGCCCTGCCCGCCCCCGCACGCCTGCAACCGGGGGCTCTGCGCGGAGGCGCTGGGCAGCCTCGTGGCCGGGCTGCTGGGTGCCGCGGGCGGCACGGCCTCCAGCGTGGCCAATGCCTGCGCCAGCGGCCTCACGCAGGTACGGGCCGGGCGRGATGCAGCGGGACACAAGCGGGACCCTGCTGTGAGGTGCCGGCCCGCGGCAGCGCGAGGCTGGCGGCGGGACGGGRCACAGAGCGTGGCTCAGCCGCTTTCCCCCCGCGCAGGCTGGCTCGCGCCGCCCGGTGCAAGTGAGCGCGCTGGCGTGCGTGGCGCTGGGCATGTCGCCCCGGCTGGCAGGGCTCCTCACCCGCATCCCGCTGGCCGTGCACGGTAGGGATCGCATCGCGCTCCCTCCTCTGCTCCCGCGGGCATGGGAAGAGGCTGGCGTGTGCCCGCGTCCTGCCTTGCACCCCGTGCTGCCTGACACCCGGCCCTCGCAGGAGGGGTGCTCTGCGTGACCTACGCCGTAGCCGTGGGCACCGGCATCTCCTACTTCCAGTACGCGGACATTGACTCGGGCAGGAACATCTTCATCGTCGGCTTCACCATGTTCATGGCCCTGCTGGTGCCGCGGTGGCTCAGCACTGCCCCGGCTCAGCTGGCCACAGGTAGCGGGGATGGGGCCGGGGAAGGAAAAGCCGTTAAAGCCTTGGCTCCCGAGCACCACGGCCACGTGTCTCCTGAGGTGCTGGGAGGCTGCAGCAGCACATTGCTTGTGGCAGCATCCAAGGGCTGCTCCACTGGCTCCAAGCCCTTGCTCTGCCAGGACACGTTCCTGCCCCTCCTGGCTCCTGGGCTGGGATGTGTGGGTAACTCTGGTGCTGCCTCCAGGCTGGGTGCCTCTGGACCTGCTCTTCTCCTCCCTGCTTATGGTGCCTGTCTTCTTAACGGGCTCCTTGTCCTTCTTCCTGGAGAACACGGTCTCAGGTGGGATGCCCAGGGCGCTGCCGCGGGGCTGCCACGCTCCCCGCGCGCCCGGGGCCGTGGGCACAGGCGAAGGGGCTCGCGGCCCGTCACCCTGCTTTCAGGCACCCYGCAGGAGCGAGGGCTGCTCGCCGACCTGGCACCACACACCGGCGCCCGCTGCCCCCGGCGCCACAGGGGCGACAGCAGCCGCGCGTATGAGCTGCCRGCCGGGCTGAGGAGGCTGCTGCCTCCCTCCAGGCGCCCGGCCTTCCCCTGCTGCTTCCTCTGCCCTGGCCGTGAGGAGGAGGAGGAGGAGGAAGAGCAGGAGCAGGAGAGCCGCGCTGCCGAGGAGGGCACCGCCGCTGCTGGGGAAGGGACGCGCCTGCTGCTGAAGGCCGGCTCGGTGGAGATGCACGCGGAGAGGAGGCCGAGCGAGACGGAGCCGCCAGGGTGGCACGCAGCGGCCTGAGCGGGGACCTGCTCCCGCAGAGGGGGACGTCACCCGCTGCACCCTGTCAGACACGAGGTGGCTCGGAGCCACCTGCGAGCCTCTTTGCTCCATCGTTCTGAAGCCTGCATGGACTGGAGGAGCCGCGTGCCCCAGTACGGACCGCATTTCCCCCCACGTCAGAGGGGAGCTATAAAAACCATCAGCCAACTTTGCCCTTGGAGGTTTCCTTTCCAGCCAGATCTCCCTGGGAGACCCCAGCTTGCCTGCCTGTGACACCCATAGGACTGCCACTGTGGAGGGCACAACAGTTTGGCCAAGGACACGGGCAAGTGTATGGTGCACTTTGGCCCTGCAGACCTGCCTGGAGAAGCTGGGTCGGGCTGGTTTGTGTGTGTGCCACATTCCCTGGCCTGGGGCTGCTTCCCACTGCTGCCCTGGCTGCTGCTGGGATGTGGAGCAGCTCCCAGCACCTTGCTTGGCCCCACACCGTCCCTCTGCCCCTGCCATAGCAAGGAGTAGTGCCCAGGGCACAGGCAGGACATTTCTGCTGCTTGTGGACACCTCTCTAAGTGCCTGATGCTGCCGGCGCCACGATCCCCGTGCCCTGCTCTGCCTTTGCACACTCTTTACCAAACCCCATCCCCCGTCTCCCCAGCCCCTTGAGCACCAGTGTGAGGGTGCTGGGCTCCATGAGGGGTTTGCTGCCTATTGCCCATGGCAGCAAAAGGCATAGGGCTCCTCTGAGGGTCTGGGGAGGTTGTTCCTCACCGTGAGCAATTGCTGCTTGGAGCCAAGGTCACAGCTCCAAGCATCTGTCCAGCACTGGCCTCCCCTCACTGTGCCCCTGTCCCCGACCCTTGTGCATCGCCTTTGCCCATCTGTGCCCCTGGTCCCACACATCCCCCTGGTGCCAGGTTTAAAGCTCTGACCCACCAGGATGCCCCAGCTCAGGGGGCAGAGCTGCCGTGCATGGCTCAGCTCCCCGTTGTCACAAGCCTATTGTCACCTGCAGCGGCACCCTGGGTTTTCCCTGCTTAAATGCTCCGCCAGGCACTCTCGCATGCTGGTGCATTGCTCTTGCTGCTGAACTAGCCAGCGGGGGAATTTTCTGGGGAAGAAAACATTGCCTTTGACCCCTCGTGATTCAGCTCAGCGGCCGGGTTGGCATCCCCCTGCTCACGCTGCTCACAGTGCACAGCGTGGCTGCAGCTCCCAGCRTTTACAGCAGACCAGAGTCCACTTGTAAGCGCAGCCTGCGCCAGTCTAAACTGGCCTACAAAGCCCCTGCGAGGGGGTGGCAAAGGACACGGCCTTGTGCAGTGGCCATGGGGAGGAGCACGAGGGAGGCACTCGGGCTGCACCCAGCCCCCCTGCGCCCCCAGCCCAGCTGCACCCCTTCACCTTGCACCCTGCAGAGGTGCTCTGTGCATGTCCGGGGGGGGCTGCTCATGGGTGCAGAAGCTCCGGGTGCTGCAGGGGCTCAGGCTGCAGGTGCAAGGTGTGGGGAGCCGTGCGCCTGCAGTGCACAGGGTGGGCTCAGTGGGTGCAGTGAGGGGGTCGTGCACCGCGTGCAGGCTGGGGGCTCTGCATTACCACACGGGTGCAGGCCGGGGGCTCTGCACTATTGCAGGGGTGAAGGCTGGGGGCTCTGCATTATTGCAGGGGTGCAAGCTGGGGGCTCTGCGTTGCCGCAGGGGTGCAGGGCACGGTGGCTCCAGGCCAGACCCGTGTCCCTCGGCGGCGCTCGCAGAGGCAGGCCCGGCCGCCGGGCCGCGCGGCGGCACTGCAGCTCCCGGCGGCACTGCAGCTCCCAGCGCGGCGGCCGCGGCGCCCGTGCAGCAGCACGACGGGAGCCGTAGTCCCGGCCCTCGCCYGGCCTCGCTCGCCCCGCGCGGCCGCTTCCTGGCGCGTTGCGGCCCGCGCGCCGCTCCTGCCGCGGGTACCGCGGGGCAGGGCCGCAGTGGCGGCGCTGGAGGGGCAGGGCGAGCAGGGCAGCCCGTCTGGGCCCGCGGAACCGCCTGTGGGCGCGCGCCGCGGCGGAGCTGAACGCCCCCTTGCATGCAGGGCTCTGCCCGTGCTGCTCGCACAGGCTCCCGCTGCTGCGGTGCAGGCGTCTCCGCGCGTGCCGCGGGGTGGTTGGGGTGCTGCTTGGAGGGACAGTAGGACCTGCCCCGTGCATTGCTGCCAGATGTCCATTGCTGCCAGACATCTACCCTCACAGAGCTCCATGTGAGGGGACATGGCCTGGAGCTGGCTGAGCATCCTGCCCTCGTCACGCTGCAGAGGGGCTGGGGGGAGCAGGGGCTCCAGGAGGCCACCCCCAAGTCCCCACTAAGCCCTGGTTGGTGTCTTGCAGATGGAAGGCTCCGAGGAGCTGGAGAGCAGCCTCCTGGCACAGCCCTGGGCCTCTGTTCGCTTTGGCGAGTGTGCTTTCATCGCCAAGGCTTGCTTCRGGGACACGGGCTACGTGCTGCTCATCTCCGACCTCAGCAGCGTCTGGCACGAGCGTGCGGACACGCAGGCCGTGGCGCAGAGGTCCAAGGTGAGTCCAGGGCTGGCAGGCGCAGGGACCCCCTTTTCCCCACGCGACGGCCGTGGATCCGGGCAGCCCCCACGCAGCCGTGCCCACGCACTGCCACCCCGGTGACCCGCACAGCCTCCTCCCTGGAGGACAGGGAGGCTACTCAGTGACCCCTCCTCGCTGGGGCTGCGCTGAGGCCAGCAGACTCATTTCACCTGTGCGCAGAGCGTGAAGCTGCTGTCTCTAGAGCCAGCACATAAAGCAGCAGGTCGAAACCAGGTCCTGGTAGTCATGGAGGGACTCCTGCTCACTCTAACAGCCACGGTACTGTCGTGTCTACACAGCTCCAAAAAACACTGGATGATTCTCTGGCTACCCCTGGCCCAGACCCTGCTGCTGGGGCCTGGGAAACCTTTCTAGCTTGGCTTGCCTGGGAGAACTGCTGGGGCATGTCCATACCAGGGCGCAAGGATGCTTTCTGCTGCCCTGGGGCACCTGGAAGCAGTTTAGATCCTTGTGTGCTGCTCTGTCTGCTGGGGCTTTGGGTGCTGCAGGCCCACGCGGCTCTCCTAACGCTGCCTCTCGCCAGGAGCTGAACAAGCGGCTGACGGCGCACGCGTCCTCCTTCCTGCAGCGCCTGGGCAGCCTCGTGTGCCCCTTGCTGGCGGGGCGCCCGGACGCCGCCACCGCCTTCTCTTGCCACCACGCACCTGGCAGGCTCAGCGTCCGTGTGAAGAGCGAGCTCTCCGGACTGCCCTTCTACTGGGACTTCCACTGCTCCTCTGCGCCCGTGGAGATGGTGAGCGACATGCCCGGCGGCCTGGCGACGTTGGGGACAGGACAGGCTGAACCTGATGTCCATTATTTCATGCTTGGAGGCTTTGGAGAAGTTTGGGGGTGTGCTGCTGGTGACAGGGTGCCTGGCTCTGCCTGCTGCCCCTGCTGAGGGTCACCAGCCCCGGTTCTATCCTTTGGCGCTGTAGCTCCTCCGGCAGGAGTGTGCCAGCGGGGACCTTGCAGGGTAGCAGGGGTGATGGAGCACGTCCTCCTTGCAGGGAGAGACTGCCCATTTGGGGATTTTACCCTCTGTGTACCGCCCTGTCCTGTACACCTATGACAGGTGCTGGGGAAGGGGGTATGAGTGACCCTCACCACAAAAGAATCTATAGGGAGTCAGGAGCAAAGAGGGGAATTCAAGTAGATTGAATCTCCCAACTCTTAGGGAGCTGCTCCTATCTGAGGGCCACTTTGGTGTCTTTTTTTTCTTCCTTATTTGTGGGTTTCAGGGAGTTTTTTGAGGTTTCCCTCTGGTTTTGGATGCTGCAGAGCTGATCCCCCAGGAGCAGCAGAGTCCTTGGAGCAGGGACTCATGAGCCCATCTGCTCTTGCAGACAGCAGTCCATCCCCACTGCCCCAACAGAGGCGGGATGCAGCAGGAATGGGGGCTGTATCTGGGGCATATCCCACTTTAGCCCAGGAAGTGAGTGATTTAAACTTTGCAAAAAAACGAGCTCAGACATTGGATTTCCTGCAGATTCACAAAAAAAGTGTCGGGCTTGCAGCATGCTGGCCTTGCTGCGCGCCAGCCTAAAGCAGCGCGACCCCCCTCTCTCCGGGCTGGCTCTGCGGGGAGCCCCACGGCCTGTCCCCCAGGGCAGCAGCGGGGGCTCTGCGGGCGCAGGGTGGCTTTGGGGAGCAGAGGCTGGGTGGGCACCCCAGCACCCAGGCCCTGCGGCCGTGCGCGCACAAGAGGGCGCCCGGCACCCGCTAACGGCTGCGCGGGAGCTGGGGACGCTGCTGCCTTGGGGCCTGCACGGGAGCCCTGGCGGCCGCAGCGCATCGGGGGCTTCAAGGGAAGGGTCGCTCTGAGCCGCTGCATGCCCTCCTGCCAGGTCCCGGTGCCGGGGGGATAGGGGATGGCCTGCAAAGGGACAGGAGGGGCCCTGCACAGCCCTTCTCCCCTCTTCGGGGACATAACCCGCACTTGAGCGTCACGGGGAGCGGAGCTGGGCTTGTCAGCTGGCTGCAGCGCRGAGCGTCCGGGCGCTTCTGCTGCTGCACCCCCGGGGTGCGGACAGGCTCGGTCTCCCCCAGGGCCCTGCTCGCTCTGGGGACTTGMTCTTCATCACTGGGCAAGAAGTGCAGGGTCTGAGCCGAGATGGTGCAAAGTGGTGTCCCAAGCTCTCTGCTTGCAGCTGCTCCTCTCCCTTTGCTTGAAAGTGCAGCGCATGCCTGCAAGGAGCCCAGGAGGGGCAAAGTGCTGAGTGTGGCTGCCTTGAATGCAAAAACAGGGTCTGATCYTGCCCCACTCAGCAGCCAGCCCAGACTACAAAGTATATTCACAGAGCTGGAAGCACTGCTGCTTGCTGCATCCCAGCTCTGCCTCCTGAATGCAGTGGCAGGGGGTGTGTGGCAGGGCCCCCATCCCTACMGCTGGCACCTTGAGGTGCAGAGCCCCAGCATGGGCTCGTCCTGGGCTGYGTGCCAGGGATGTGCTGCCTCCGGGAGCAGGGAGGCTTGGTGAGTGATGCTGTGTTGGGTGTCCTGTGGGCCAGGGTGGTCCCTCCAGGCTCCAGGGCAGGGAGATGTGCCCAGGGCTCTGCAGGCAACTTGGCCATAAGCTAAGGAGGGTGTTGTGGGCTGCAGTGGGGAGTGTGATGGGAAACCATATGAGCTGTCAGGGTAAGGGGCTCTTCTACTGTGCATCTCATCTCCTGGGGAAGTCTTGCTGTTTCCCCAGGCCCCAATCTGGGGGTTTTAGCCCCAGCTGTGTCTGTTGCCTGCATGGGGACATGGTTTGGGGGGGCAGAGAACCCTGACCAGGGACTGGAGGCCCTGTTGTGGGCTGGGAGCTGCACAGAGGGTATCTCTACCTCCTCCTGCACCCTGAGTTTCTCATGGTGGCTGAAGCATCGCTCACTCCCCGTCCCTGTCATTGCTCTACGGAGAGCCAGCTGCCTCTCCAGACCTTCCCCAGCGCGTCCTCTCTCTGTGCCAGGTCTCCCAGCACCTGGTGCGGCCCCTGATGCGGATGAGCCTGGCGCTGCACTCCCAGCTGCAGGAGCTCATGGCCCTGCTGCTCCAGAAGGACGCCGAGATTGACGACTACAGGGAGAGCGGGGCTGCTCTGAGCAGAGGTGAGGCGGGACGCGCGGGCGCAGCCGGCAGGGAAAGCGCTTCCTTCCCCGCGCGCCGCCTGCCCTGCTGSCTCTGCCTGCTGCCCAGCGAGGCTCCTGTTTCCGTGTGGCGAGAGGGTTGCCAGCGGGCCGGCCAGCAGCCCCGTGGGAGCAGCGGGCACTGGGAGCCGGAGCACCTGGGGAGTCACCAAGGTGCTCGCCGCTTTGCTGAGAGCACCTGGCGGCTCCCCAGGAGCCTGCGGCGATGCCAGCGGGGACTGGCGCAGCGCTGCCGCACGCTCCGTGCCCGGCGCTGCCGCACGCTCCGTGCCCGCGCACTTGCAGAGCGTTTGTGGAGCAAGCACGTCTCCAGGTCTTTGCTGCTGGAAGTGCAGCCGTGTCCGCAGGTCTCCAAGCTGGGAGCCTGGATCGGCTCCAGTGGGGAACGGAGGGGTGCGAGCCCCCTCGGGTGGGCAGTGGGGGTGCGGAWGAGGCCCTCCATTGCTCCCCCATGTGTAGGGGCTCGTCAGCATCCAGGAGGCACAGGCTCCCGCTTGGCTTGAGGGGGAGACAACTGCCTTTCCTGGGGACCTTGTGCCCCCCAGACACTGGAGTAGATCTGGATCAGCAGTGGCTTGTGTGGCATTGCCAGGAAYGCCACATGGCCCGAGCTCCTGTCCTGCAGTGCTTCCCTGCTTCTGCCAGCCTGGCTGAGATGGGAGCCTGGATTTCCTCTGCAGCTGCACCAAAAGGTGCCCGAGCCACCTGGATTGCCCTTTGTCCTGTGGCTCTACAGGGTCAGGGCAGCAAGGAGAGCCCRCTTTGAAAATTGGAATTGGTGTGGTGGGAATCCTGTCTTTCCCCTTGCCTGAGMATCCTGGCATAGGGGAGCACATCCTGGACACATGGGGAAAAAAAAAAGCTTTGAATGAGGGACCCATTGGAATGAGATAGAATAGGGAGTTGTCCCTGTCCTGCAAGATGGGAATGAACCAGCCTGGTTTGAGCTCATTGGAGCTGTTCCCCTGCTCCTTGCAGCCACCCTTCCCCATGGATGGTCGGGATGGGGGTCTGGCCAGACCTGCCTGGGCTGATAGCAGCTCTCCCTTGCAGACCGACTACGGACAGAGCCCTTCCAGGAGGAGACTTTCCTGCAGAACTTCATGGCCAAGGTAAGGTGCAAAGCCTACTTCACCGTGGAGACATGTGGCTTTTGTCCTGTTTGTGTTGTGTTCCCCCCTCACACCTCAGTGGTGCTTGGTTCTTCCAAGCAGATGAGCTTGAGAGAAATTGGAATTTGAAGGAGCAAGTCTTTCCCCTACCCCTTCCTCATTGCTGGAAACCATTGCAGAAGCACTGAAATGATTCAGTGCAGTGAGGGAACATCAGAAGCAATTGATGCTCGCTGGTGCAAAGAAGCAAGATTTGAAGATGCTTCTGAGCATTTCTGTGCGAGCTGTGAAAGGCCATGAGCAGGGAGCAGTGGTGCCTGCTGGAGACCAGGGAGTCAGATGGGAATGCAGGGAACACGTGGCATTGCATAGAAAGAAAAGGTCCTGCTTGGATGGGACATTGCTCTGAGAGACAAATGCTGATGGTCATGCACAGCTAGCAATGAACCATCTGCAGCTTCTGAAAATTAGAGGCGATCCCTCTTTTACATGAAAGATATTGCATCCAGCACAGGCATCTTTCCTTTCCCCCTGGTTGTGATGGATAGAGATGAATTCATTGCTGGACTGAAACTTGGAGGTTGCCTAGGGACCGATGATCATGACCAGATTACATTCACCCTGGGCAAAGGAAGGACATTCCTAAACAGTAATTTATATCCTTCATGCTTTGAAAGGGCTAATTTCCCAAAGCAGGGGGAAATTATGAGTGAAATCAGCTAGGAGGAAACATTTAGATAGAAAAATGTGAATGAAAATTGTGAGCTCTTTCAGAAGAATTTCAGAAGCCACAAAAAGCCACAATTCTACAATCAAGAAAGAGGGCAGCTCTGGCCGAAAGCCCGTTCTGGTTCAGTGGTGAAGTGAAGGCAGCAATTAGAAATAAAAGAGCAGTTTATAACAAATGGGAAAGCGGGAGTAGATAGCAATCAATATAAATTAGAAATTATGAAGTGTAGAAAATGGATAACAGAAGCTAAAAGCATCAGGGAAAAATCATGACTAGCAGGGCTAAGGACAGAAGCAAAGGGGTTTATTTCGTGTATTAAGAAAGAAACCCCAAACTCTGAGCGATGGGATAAGCCTATTAGAGGATGGAGGTGGCAAAATGATTGATATTTGAGTAGACATGGCAGAAGTGCTCAATAAATGTTTCTGTGCTGTTGCTGGAAGGATGTGCCAGCATCAGGGGTGATGAAATATGTCTTTGTCTGAGGGACTGCTGAGCAGCATCTGCTAGAGATGCACATCCAGCCYGAGCCCGAGCATCCTCCAAGAGCTGGTGTGGGGTGTCTGGGGTGCGGGTGATGGGGTTTGGTGGTGCTGGACCGCTGCTCGTGCAGCAGGGTGTGCAGGAGAGGAGTAACTCAGCAGGTCCCGTGCAAAGCCCTGCCGAAAGGGCTAGCAGAGCACTCGCCAGGCTGTGGCRACAAAGCGTGGGGAGTCTGCAGCTTCCGTGGCTCTATGTGCACATGTGAGAACGTGTCTCCTGCAAATGAACACACTGTCCCGAACGTTGATTCATGAGCCCTGGGGCTCGTGTTGCCAGCCATCCTGTTCTCCACCTGCAGCAGGTAGAGCTAGGTCTCCTGCAGGCACAAGTGCTTTGGTCTCAGATCGCCGGGTGCAGTGTTGGCAGTATGTGGATGAAAGAGATGGGCTTTGGTGAGGAAGAGCAACTGTATGGCTGTGTGGAGGGGGATCCTGGTCTGCCTGGACCATGTGTCCATCCTGGCAGTGGCCAGGAGCAGCATCATCGGGCACTGGACAAGGAACTGGAAGGTTGGGGTGATGCTCACCTTTGCTGCTGTTTTGGTGCTTGGTGCAAGCTTGGTGTCAAGCTGTTGTGGTGCTTGGTGGGGCAGTGTTGGTAGGGCCTCGGCTCAGCTGGGACCTTCCCAGCTCACTTAGTGCCTTGCTGAAGAAACAAGCCTGGGATGGAGGGGCAGCGGGTCCCCAGTTCATGCCATGGGGAGCTGGGAGCGCTGTGGCCAACTACAGTATCTGGGCTTTAAGAAAGATGCCGAACAATCAGAGCAGGGTTACAGGAGTGAATTGAGGGCTGGAGAGGGAGCCCAGCTTTGAGAGACTTGGAAGAGAAGAGCTCTGTCGAGCTTATCAGAAAGAAAATTGAGAGATGCCTTGATTACAGTGCRTGAGGGTCTTTACAAGGAGAAAATGCTGGTTACTTAAGGGCTCTCTTTAATCTAGCAGAGAGCAGCAGAACATGAGCCAGTGATTGGGAGCTGGAGCCAGACCCAGACAAATTCAAACTAGAAATAAGGCACGTGGTTTTGCTACCAAGGACGATTAGCTACTGGGACGTGCTCCCAAGGGCAGTGGTTGAGTCTCCATCTCTTGATGTCTCCAAAAGTGGGCTGGGAGCCTGCTTGGAAGAAAACCGAGTTGCTGGGCTCAGTATCGGGGTGTGTGGTTAAACACTCGTGGCCAAGAGGTCAGATGGAGGGATCCGATGGTCCTCCCGTCGTTTCCCCCTGTAAAACAGAGCCTCGAAATGTGGGTGTTCAATGATGAGAGCAGTGCGTGCCTCCTGGCTGGAAGGCAGCTGTGATGCACGACACCTTGGAAAGGCTCCACTTCCCAAAGCTTTGAGCATCCCTCCTCGAGAGCAGAGGACCCGCCAGTGCCGGCGCRCGGTCGCTCCCGCATGCTGCCTGCCCCGTCTCTGCCTCAACAAGCCCTYGCGCCGGGCTTGCGTGCGCCCCGCTGCCCAGGGCGTTCTAACCAAGCGCGCGGAGTTTTCCAGCAAAGCCCTGGGAATATTTATACCTTTAGGAAACGACGCTTTCACACGCGCCGCTTTTGGCAGGAGTTCATGGCAGCTGCCGGGCTTTGGGCAGAGCTGCAGGGAGAGCGGCGGCTGCCGGCGGCGCGCGCCCTGAGGCCGGCCCGGCAGCCTTTCTTGGCCCGGCGAGGCGCTCCCCGCGTGCGCGGCGGGAGAGCGGAGGCGGCCGCAGCGCGGCCTGCGTGCCGGGGAGCACCGGGGAGCTGCCCTGGCCGCCGGCCCAGCAGCCAAGGGATGGATTTTGTTGCTGGGTGTCCCTGCCTGCTGCAGAGGTTGCTCCTCGGGGCAGCCTCGGGATACCCAGGAGTGGTTCCTGAGGGTCTGTCCTGATGCCTGACGCTGTTCGGTGCAAACGGAGGCAGCACGGAGTCCTTCCCCGGGCTTCAGTGTTTTGCTGCTCAGCACCTCTGGATTTAGTAGGTGGATTTTCCTCCCGTGAGTGTGTTGGCGTGTGTGCAAGACATGGGAGAGCTCCTGTTCAYGGCGTTGCCCACATGGGCCTTCCCTTTGGAGAAGGCTGAGGTGGAGGGGAGGAGAGCACAGAGGGATGCTGTGGGCCTGGCAAGGTGGCTCCGGCTCTGAGAGCGACAGACAGTGGGGCAGGGCGGCTCAGTGCCTCCATCATACACCTCGTTGGGGACAGGATGGCTTTCACGGGGCAGGGACGCAAGAGGGACATGTGGGATGATGGTGCAGGAGTAGGGGTTATCCCAGTGTTTCTCTGGGCCAAGGGCTGGCTCCCACCCTGCAGTAAATAAGCCAGGCTGAGAGTCCCTTTGCCCCTACTTATCCACTTCCCACCTCCTCCCTGGCCCCATGGCTTAAGAAGTGGACTCCTGCAAAGGGCCTGGGTCCATCAGCACTCCAAGCTCTGGCCTTGCTATCTCCAGAGCTTCACTGCTCACTTCACTACCAGAGTGTTGCAAAGGGAGCAAGGGTCTGACACCCACTGGGTGCATGCACTGCACCCCTGCCCTGGCTGCAGCGGGCAGTCCCGGGGCGGCAGATTGGGGTTCAGCCTGGATGTAGGCAGAGCAGCCCTGCACCGCTCCACCAAAGAGGAGCTGCAGTTGTTTTGGCTGCTTGGGCTCAATAGAGCAGCAATGAAAACCACTCGGATAAATGCGCAGATAGGGTCAGTTCAAATATAGCCCCGCGCGCCCCAGGATGTTTCACCCTGCATATTTTTATCTCCGCAGCCGGAGCACGCCGGGGCGGCTGCGCTGCGCCTCCGGCTGCCCCGTGCACTTGGCTGCCGGAGCGGCGCTTACGGCAAACAGGACGCGCAGGGTTCACAGGTCGACCCGGGCCCGGTGAGGAGGATGTGCCATCAAAACAAGCAACGCTGAATAGGAAGATAAACAAACAGGCGGCTTCCAGCGCGTCCCTGGCCGAGGGCGAGCGGGTTGCCGCGGGCCGGGGCTCACGGGGTGGCCGGCGGCGCTGGCCGCTGACGTCAGGAGCTCGGGGGTCACAGCCRGCTGCATTGTTCCCCGGTGCGGAGCTGGGAAGGCGGCCAAGCGGGTTGGAGCGGTGGGGCCGCAGGCAGGTGGAGGCGGGTGAGCACCGGCACTGCCGCGGAGCCCCAGGAGCGGGCAGAGCACCCAGTGCTAACCCACGGTCTGGCCTGGCACCTGCTTGCACTCTGCCCAGCGCTGAAAATGAGCCCCTTGAGAGGAGCATGTGCCCGAGGGCTGGAGGCAGCAGTGAGCTGCGTGTTACAYGGGGCAGGGATGGCAGCCCCTAGACCTGAGGCAGTGCCATGCAGCCGGGCAGTAGTAGCGGGAGGAACCAGCCCTTTGGCTCCTTCCTACCAAAGCCATTCCAACCAGGAATGGTTTCAATTAGCCCCAGGTAGTTGCAGCCTTGCAGCTGTGGACGCGGTGCCGGTGCACACGGCAGGCACGGCCCGGCAGCAGAAACCGGGCTGCAGGTTCCCGTGCCTGCGCGGGCCAGGCTGGGTGCCCTGCCGCTTGCCTGCCCTCGGGCTGCTCCAAATACACATCTGCCTTAGCCAGCCTGCCCGTGCGCCCCTGCTCGTGGGCAGGAAGRTGTTTCGGGGTGAGTGTGGGCACAGTGCACTGAGGGCCGACCGCTGCGTGGGGGCCTGGCCCTCCCTAGGGCTCTGCCACCAGCCGCAGGGCAGCGCGGCTTTATTTATTTATTTGCTGAGGCCTAATCAGGTGAGGGGGCC